TAGAGAATATTTGAATACAGTACCAAAATATGAGAACTGTTAGAAACACATTTGTGAAAAAAAAGTAGAATGAAAATAAATAAAGGAGGTCTCTAAACCAACTGCCCAACACAAAAAGTAAGAAGCTAATCACTTGATAACAATTTAAAAACTTTTGTGAATGATCAAGTAAAGACAAAAAAGCAGAATGGTTTAAAGAAATAAAATCCAAAGTACTTGAAGAGCCAACAAATAAGAAAATCAAAGAATACTTTAAGACAAACAGACATAATACTCAAGCAATAAAGACAGAATAGAAGGCTATATCAAAAAATAAAAGAAAAAAAGAGTAGATAATATACAGTGCACAAAATGATAAACAGTTAGGAAAGATAATAAAGAAGAAAAAGAAAAAGGTTCTACTAGAACATTGACAAATGCAAAATAAGAAGAATAAGATAGCAACAGAAATTAGCAAATGTGATAAATGTACAAAAGAAGAAGAACAAAAAAAAGGCAGCTGCCAGCAATGGATAAGAATAAATAACAAGATTAGGGTAATTCCTGACATATTGATAAAAAAAAGAGATAACAAGAATAAGATAGTGATAGACCAGTTGATAAAAAAAGTAAAAACAGAAAAGCTGAAAGATAGTGAGCAAAAATTAAAGGCCTAATAATGATAGAAGAGCTAGAAATAGAGATAATCAAATGATAAAAATTAAATAAGAATGTTAACCAAGAAATCTTGAAGATACTAAGAAAAAACTTATTGAAAAACAAAAACAAATATATTATATATACAGATGGTGCCACAAATATAAAGAGCAAAGAAAAAACACAAGACAGAAACATAAATATAGGATGAATTCAAATAAATGAAACACAAGAGTGGCCAGAAGAAGCAATATCATTAGAACTAGAAGGATGGATGATGTTAACAATAGTAGAGTTAGTAGCAATATGGGTAACAATTTTAACAATATTAAGAGAAAGACAAATAGAAATATATATAAACAGTAATGCTGCAATAAGAAATATTAGTAGAAGTTTAGAGCAAATAGATAGAATAAAAATTCATAAGAAGAAAAATATAATATAGATAATGAAAATTATAGATCTTATTAATACAAAAAGTATACAGATAGAGTTAGTAAAAATTAAAAATTATAGCAAGAACAAGTGGAATGATAAAGCTAATAGTCTTGCAAAAAAGAGAACAATAAGTGAGAAAGTAATATAAATAGAAAAAGTTAATTGTAAAGAGATAAAGTACTGCCTAGAGTGAGAAAATAGATGAACTGATATATTAGCAAGATTGTTATATAAATTGGTAATAAATGTAAGATTAAAAGCAGAATGAAAAAAAACAAATATAATTAGAAAATTAGAACCCAAAACAGAAATTATGATTCATGATTGAATACAGTTTTAAAAAAGACTAAAAACAACTAAAGAAATGCATTGCATAACAAGAAGAAATAGTACAAAAAGATATGTGTTTATAAAGTGTATAATAGATAAACTTTTGATTTTAAAAGAACTTAACAGAAAAAGACCAGATGTATATACAACAATGAAGTGTCAAGTATGTTAAAATAAAGTTAAAGAAACATAGTCATATCTAGTATCATGCAAAGGACTACAGAGCCTCTAGAGACAAATCCAAAAAGTGACTATTGCAACATCCTAAAAAGGATTGAAAGAAGAAGAAAAAACTCACATCCCATCATATGTACTATATATAGCATTCTTCAAAAAAAATGAAGCAGAAGAAATAGAGATGAGAGAGGCTTTAATAAAGGTTTAATTCTAAAAAAGATACAAAACAGACTAACACAGCTTCTAAATACAAAGGCAAGACAGCAGTTTATAAAAACAGTAGTAAAGACAACATGGAACATATTTTATGAACAAGTTTGAAGAATATGATGTGAAAAGGTTAATAAATAGAAGAAGAAAGAAGGCATAACAACTAAAATAAAGAAAAAGAAAGTAAAGAAGAAGAATTCAAAAAAAAGAAAAGCAAATTAGCAAAAGATCGAAAAAGAAAAAAAATAAGCAAAAGAGAAAATAATAAAATTAATGAAAAAACTAAGAAAACAATATTAAAGCTTGTCATAAAAGGAAGAAGTCCTTTTTACTACAAAGTTTAAATAGTTAGACAAGTAGTCTACTTCTGTTTAAAATAGTGTGGCAAGTTGCACTTAGGTACTCTGTGGGTGGTCAAGTGATGCTAAACTTAGTTGTTAGATAAATCTATATAATTGTAAAAATAGTTTAAAGAGTTTAAATAAAGTACTAACATGACTGCTTAAGGTTAAAAAAAATATATATATATTTATAATGAAAACCAAACTTGTGTAATTATTTGCAAGTTATTTAAAAAGAGATCTGTTATACAGAGTCAATATCTAAATGTAGAATAATTTGTTGCTCAATATAGTTTTTAATTATTGTTGAATTTACTTTGTACTTTTGAGAACATAGATAAGCAACCAATTTGAATAAGACTAATTTATTGTTAAGCAAGTTTTTTAAAAAGAATTTGTTACAAAAGTATTAAATTAACTCTTTTTTAAATTGTGTAAAAACAGTTATTAATTTACAATAATAAAAAAAAATTAAAATTAAAAATTAAAAAAAAATTAACAATTAAACAATAATAAAATAAAAAATAAGAACAAATCTTTTATATCTATTTTCTAATATATCTTATAAACTATAATTAATTTTCAACTATTTCAGTAACTGTTTTTGAAACTTCAAAATTTTTTTTATTATTAAGTAACAACTGAAATAAATATAAAGTTGTTAATAATAAGTTTTTTTAGTTTTTGAGAGTTTTTTTTTGTGAATTATTTTGCTTATAAACTCAATTGTATCAATATTTTTTTTTTCTTTATTAGTCATGCTTTCATTATTATTATCCTCATATTGTTTAGTTATATACCTATTATCAACAGCTTTATTATTTTTATAAGAAATAGAAAAAAAAATTGTGAATCTTTTAAAGATTTTATTGCAGCTTTCTTTAATATTTTATTTTTTTTACTGCTTTGTTTATTTTGAATTTTTGACATAAACTACTAGATTGCTTTTTTAAAAAAAATTTGCAACTTATGCTGTAAGAAGATGGTTAATAACTAAATTTACTCTATTATTATTGTCATCTTAAAAACAATTATCTTCTTAAATATCATAATTATTATCAGAATTAACTGAACTATTAGTCAAATTTATTACTTGAAACAAGGTTAACAACTTTGGTTCTGGTAGTTCTGATAATGCTAATGGTGCTGATTATGCTGATGGTGCTGGTTCTAGTAGTGGTAATATGAAAGCTAATACTGACATCATAGATGTTAACATTTACCAACCATACGGATTGAGCTAAATTTGTTCTTTTCTTTTGCAATTGCTTCAACACCTTTGACATTTTGATTTAAAAAAGATTGATAATGATATAATCCATTTAAATCTTTTCAGATGTTTGATTTTAATTGGTCATCATATCCACATGATCGAAACACATCTATTTTTATTGGCTTATCACTTATGATCACATGAAGATCTACACACCAAATTCTTAATCTATATATAAAATTGCTAATGTTTAACCTGTTATAACTTGATCAAAAATAAATAATAAAAGAAATTCCTCTTACAAAAATATAGTTTGATTAAAAAACTATTAATTTGTAAAAGGATTTTTTTTTTAAATAATTTATTGTCAAGTTATATTATTTTTTGCTAAGCTAAAAAAATAGGATATCTTATGCTGTCCGGGACTGTAGTTTGTGAAATTTATATATGTTTGTCGAAATTGCTTTTTTAAAAAAATAATTTGGACACCCATGTGCAGGTGTAACGTGTAAGAAACATGAAAAACCAAAAATCGATCATAACTCAACATTTTACTTATGAAACTGCCTTTTGCGCTTTTTCTAACCTAAGTTAATAGCAAACTCTAACCCTAACTTACTGCAAAATTTTTTAAACGGTGACGCTAGGGTCTTACAAATAGGCCATCAGCTCTATTGATTAGCCAGTCGAGCCGCGTCTCTAGGTACCCTGTATTAATAAAAATATTTACAGTAGCGACCATAAATACATTACTGAAACTTGCAAAATTTACAACTTAATACCACTTGCAATTAGCTACGTATAAAGTAGCTACAGTGAAACCTTCCTTATAAGTGTACACCCACTCTAAATTCGCACTCAGATTCTGGCCCAAGTATATACATGACTTTCATAAATGCACTTTTTCTTATTGATACGTAGTAGTAAATAGTAGTAGGCGTATTGCTAATATATGAGTGCCGCCAAGGGAAACCTACATGATGTACTTTTTGAATATTTACTTTTAATAAAAATATCTTAAAATCGGACAATTTAATACCTACTATCCTTAAAATTATTTGAATCGTCTTATTAAGATGATTCGAATGATATTAAAATTAGTAGGTATTAAGTTGCCTGATTTTAAGATATTTTTATTAAAAGTAAATATTAAAAAAGTACAACATGTAGGTTTTTCCTTGGCGGCACTCATATAGTAAACACAAAACAATAATAACTATAAAGTAACTCTATATAGTTACTTTATAGCTAATTGCAAGTAGTATTAAACAAAAAATTATCATCGCCAGTGTGATGATGCATTGCCATGCTCTAATTTTAAGAAATGAACAGCAGCGGGTAAAAAAAAAACCTTTAATCCACAATTCTGCAAGGGTTTTTTTTTATTAGGAGAAAGAGCAGTTTATATACAAGGATTTAATCGCTTCGATTTTCACGTTATACCTGACCTGATTGGTCGATCAGGGGGTAGCGATGCAAATCTCTAAATTTTTTCGAAAATACCAATTCGGAGGTTGTGCTTAATAATCCAGTGATTTGGGATAAGCGATAGTATATCACAAATCTTTGACAGAGTCAATTTATTCGTTAATGAAAGATTTTTTATTTTATGTCATCATGAATTACATTGAATTGAAAAAAAATTATATACTGGATCAAATAGATTGAAACATAGAATTCAAACCCGCTAATACAGAAATCACTTTGTACATATAATAACCATATCCCAAGAAGAAAAAACAAAACAGAAATGACATTACACTCGGGGAACTATTAAAATATTCACATAATGCAAATAAATCTTGAGTAAACGCGAAACAACTTGAAGCGACGCTATGATCACTATCACTATCACTAGTTGATGATGGATTGATTCGTTTAGATTTTTTTACGCTAAAGTTAGGGGTATGTGAATTGAAGGATAGAAAAATTGGACATGATGACGGCATCGATGAACGTGAAGGAGGATTATGTGATATTCGTTGAGGATATGAAGAAGATATGATGCCTGGAGATTAAATCATATATAAGCATAAGAAGACAAGAAGGTAGAAAGATAAAAACAAATGAACGAAAGATCAAATCAAACCTACTTGATTTTTTGGAGACGGGGTAAATAACATTATGGTTCACCGGTGTTGTGCCAAGGGAACGGACATCTTTCACCAGAACGGCTTAAAAATTAAAAATAAATAAATTACAAAATTATTAAAAAGGATTTAGTAATTAAAAAAAAGATCTCGAGTCTACCTTTCAATTTTTCAACGTTCTTATCTGAATGATTGATACGAATAATTACCGGTGGGGGAACCAATTTCCTTTGTTTATGCTATTTTTAATAGCTCATGTTAATAGAAACATTAAAGATTTTATTTATTGTAAAATGACAATAAAAATCATTATATCATTACCTTTATCTCCAAATAACTCTGTAAAATAATTAAAGAACCAGAAATAAAACATACGGCACAAGATAAGGCCAACGAAGTAAATACCGGCATTATTTTTTATTAAAATGTGACAAAAAAAGAATCGATTTTGAGCGAACAAGATGAATGTTTATAAGAACGAATTTAAAATTAAATGAATATTTATTAAATTTAATAATAATTTTAATTATTAAGTATGAAGCAGTTTTTTCATTATTATATTAGCAGCATTGCAATCTGCGCGTGATATTTTAAATCAACAAAATCATATAGCGATAGAAAAAAAACAAAGGTTTTTATTTATTAATTTATTTTATATAACAGATAAAATAATTAAAAAAAAATGCAAAAATGACGAAAAAGGACATCATCCCTCCACGTTATAGCGATAAAATTCCCACGATATTCTATCAAATAAATACTCCGAAATTAACATATTAAAATAACGGTTAAGTAATAGTTTATCAGTTCAAACTGTGAATTTATTCTAAGACAATCAATGACTTCTTTAAATAAATGTGACCACAATGTGATTCCACTTAGTCTTGACAATCGTGACAATATGTTAAGTGGGCTTAACAAAAAAGTTACAAAAAAGGTAGGAAATGTCCACGATCATAACCAAAAATAGGGCTTTTTCTCCGTGAGATCTGGGGTAGTGGTTGTTGTGGTTGTTCTGTGCATATCGATATACCAATTGGTTTATTATTTGCCTATCGTTACATATTGTTACTGTATTTATGAATTACATATTGCTTTGTTTTGATTTATACAATATATATATTTTGATTTATTGATTTATGCAATATAATTATAATTGTTCTGTCTTTCTTTAAAGCCAGGCAAAGTACTTACTAAAATTTAGTTCCCCAAAAAATGGTATCTAGAGTCTAGGTACATACGTATGTACGTATGTCACTAAGTGATGAAAATAATGGTAAAATACATGTTATTTGTATTACGTAATGTTTTTTTATGTTTAAATTGTGTATTTCTATTTGTACATGGGTATTTTTAAATCGCATGTTACGATAATCACACTATTTTTTTAATAATTAATAATAGAATAAAAGATGATCAGATTTCTGATTTTGAATTTCGAATAAAATTAATGACGTATTTTTGTTTCAAAATAAGTAACTTAAAATAATAATATACGTATCATTATAAAAAAATATTACTCGAAATTTCAAAACAGAAATAGGAGTTTTTAAAGGCGATGGTACTTAAAAATTTTAATCTATAGTAATACTTATAACGATGAAAGAAAAATTTTTTTTTTTTTAAATAGTGTTGAGATGAATATCCATGCTCAAAAATGGCTTGTAAACGTTGCAGATATCCGGATAATAGCCAATTAGATCAATTATCCATGCTCAAAAATGGCTTGTAAACGTTGCAGATATCCGGATAATAGCCAATTAGATCAATAATTCTAGTCTCATTATAGTAAATCAGATCTATATATAATATCCGGATGTTATCTGGATAGCCATCTGGAATATTTTTTACTATCCAACATCTTACTATAGAATAACTTGCACTTGACCGGGTTTGTGGCGCAGACAGTTCTTAAAATTCGTTAAGGTTAGTGGGAATAAAGAAAAGTAGTTATAGTAGTAAATTCTTCTATGAAAACTTTTTGTTAGAGCACAAAAAGTGGTTTTTATGCTGATTTTTGAGTTATGAACGATTTTTGGCAGAGCGAATGTATGTTTTGAATTTTCCTGATTGTTGAAATCTGATTCTTCGAGTGAGTTATTTTGTTGGTTCGGTTGTTATAAAATATTGGATAATACTGTTATTGAATGCTACTTAGTCAGATAATAAAATTATTTTACAAATAAGTATACATTATTAGGCAAATAACAAAAATAATAGGCAATTTCTTTGCAGCACATGAGTGAAATTAATTCTAATAAAAAATAAATTTTTGTTATTTGTTATATATATGGGGATGAGTCAATAGAAACGCATCAAATCTTTTTTAGTGAAATATTTTTGCAACTTTAAACAAAGGTAATTTGACAAAAAATTATTCAAATTTAATAAAAAATTTTTTAAACAAATTCTATAAGAATTTAGAATTAATTTAAAAAAAAATTTATTAAATATGATTAAGTTTTTGCTAAGTTATTTGAGCTTAAAATTTCAAAAAAATTTACTTAGAAAAAATCTGGTATATTTCTATTGGCTCATCTTCATATGTTTAATAATGATGTTATTAAATAAATTTTTTTTTTTTTATAATGTTAAATTATAAATATATATATATATATATATTAGTATTAAGATGAGGTTTTGCTTATATTTTTATTAGTAATTTAAAATAGTTACATATATAAATATTATGGTTAGAATTAATACTTGCAATTAAAATTAATTATTAAATTGCTAATAATACAGTTATTATTATTTGTATAAAATAAATAAATTATACAGTTATTATTATTTGTATAAAATAAATAAATTAAAAAGTACATATAAGAATAAAAGTTTAGATTAATTTATTTATGATTTAAACTTATTAAAGTAGTCAAAGCTTATCAAATTTAGATGTTTAATATATAATTTAATAATATATTATATTTAATTCATAATGTAATGATACTAGTCGGAACTACCCTAGAATTCCCTATTCATAAGGTAGCCGATACATCATTCGTGTAACGTAGGACGTTACTACACTCAAAAGAGGCAATGAATTTGGCAAGTGTAAGGTGGGTATTCTTTATTATGTCCTATCTATTCTATGTTCTCTTATATTTAAAATACATTACTTATATACTTTTTCTAATATGCTATATATACTAACTACACTATCTATGCTATATGCACTATCTACGCTATATACACTAATTATGCTACATACATTATATCTACTAATTATACTAAATACCCTATATCTGCTAATTACACTAAATACCCTATATCTGCTAATTACGCTAAATACCTTATATCTGCTAATTACGCTATATATATGCTATACTACTGTTTAATTATGTAATCATCTTTAATAAATTATTGACGATCCTATTCTGGATCGTAACAATAAAATAGATCAAATATTAATTTTATAAATAGTTTGGCTAATAAGAGTATATGTATTGAAGTAAATATATAATTAATTAGAAAGTTTACAAAAATATAAATAAATAGTTTTTTCAAAAGTATATATATTTAGTAATTAGATTAAATAATATTAAAAGTTTATTAATAAATTAGATTGAAATTTATTTTGTTGTTTTTTTTTAATTAAAAAAATAAATGCAATAAGTTTTTTATAATTACTTATATAATTGTTCATTAATATTAAAAAAAATATTAATAATAACTTGAGAAGCAGTTTTTATAAGATATTAAAGTTTTGAATTGTTAATATAAGTGATTTTAAAATAAGTTCTTTAAGAGTAAGGTTAAAATAAAATTTATTAGATAGTATATATAAAGTATTAAAAACTAGATAATAAAGAATTTTATTAATTAAATTATATTTTTGATAAGTATTAAAATTAAATAAATTATTAAATTAGTAGAGGTTTGAATAATTTAATTAAACAAATATAAATTAGCACAACTATACTAATAAAAATAAAAATTAAATAAGTTGTAATAAAAACAAATAGTATCTAAGTATTAATTTAAGTAAATAGTATAAAATAATAAATATATTATTAACTAATTAAAAAGAATTTTAATTTTAAAAAATTTTAGTTGATTAAATCTAAAATTAATAATATTATATAAAAGTTTTAATTATGATTAAAATAAAGTTAAATAGATCTCTAATTAATATCTTGATTAAAGTATGACTATTTATTATTATATTTTTATAATACTTATATAGTTAAGATATTAACTTTACAGATTTGCTTAATGAAGTATCTTGTAAAAAGTTTTATATAATGTTATTTTCATTAAAAAATATAATAAAAATTATAAAGATTTATATAATTAAATAAAAAAATAATAATAATAAATATTGTTTAATAAGAGAATCTGTTTGTTTATTAAGATAATTTTTTAAATAAGTTTATATTTTATAAAAAATAATTTGTAGTTTGTATATTTTAATAATATTTAAAAAGTATATAAATAGACTATAAGTTAAATTTGAATAGTTTATTAAAATAAGTTGAGTTAAATTGAAAATTATTAAATTTAGAAATTATTAATTAAAAGTTAGTAAAAATATTAAGTACTGAATTATAAGAAGCTGTTAAAATTGCAACAATAATTAAGAAGAGCTTAGCTTTGTATAATAAAAACTAAAATTGTATTTTAACAAAGAAGAAGTTAATTGTTTAATTATTATTATTAACTTGAATCTAATCAATACATATTATGCATTAGTTAGTACTAGAATTGTTAATAAAGTATACTACTTTGAAGTGACTCTAATTTAATTTCAAACCAATTTGAAGTAAATTAAAATTTAATAAACTGAAACAAACTAAATAATAAATCAGTTTGTTATTAAACTAAAGTAAGCTAAAATAATAAATTAGTTTGTTAAACTGAAGTAAACCAAAATAATGAACTAATTTGTTAAACTAAAATAAATTAAAATAATAAATTAATTTATTAAATTAAAGTAAATTAAAATAATAAATCAGTTTATTAAACTAAAATATTAAACTATTTATTAAACTAATATAGTAAACTAATTTTTTAGATTAGTTTATTAATTTAGTTTATTAAATTAATTTATTGCATAGGTCTTATATAACAACTTATACTTTTTTTACTTATTTAAAGCATATGTTTAAAAAAATAACAAATTATAATACTTATATTTTATTAAATATAAAAGTATTTCAATTTAGTTATTTTATTTTTATTAAATTAATTTGTTTTCATATTTTTAAAATTGTTGTTACAGTATTTAAACTTTATTTTTTAAACAATATTAGTACTTTATTAAATTAATTTGTTTTTATATTTTTAAAATTATCATTATAGCATTAGGGCTTTACTTTTTTAAGTTGTTATTAAGTAATATTAATATTAATATTTGTATTAAATTAATTTGTCTTTATAATTTTAAAATAATTATTACAGAATTAGATTAT